CCTGCCAAACATTCCTGGGCAGTTTGTCCCAGCACCACTGGTTCCCACTTTTCTCCTCCGTGGACTCAGACTCACCTCATTCAGGCTCCACTGAACCACCGACTGGTTGATGTGACTGTGGTGGGAGTTTTGTCTGGTGATGGTTGTGTGTTGGTCTGTCCATGTCCATGTCCATGTCCATGTCCATGTCCGTGTCAAAGACCCGTCCTTCTACCTGGGCTGCTGCTGCTGCTGCTGCTGTGTTTCTGGAAGGTTCTGTCAGTGCAGGATGTGATCCACATCAACAGTGTCTTCTTCTAGAGAAGGTGTCTCCACTAAGACAGACTGGGGGGTTTGGGGGGGGGCAGAGATGTTCATCAGCCCTAATGGGTGAGGAGAGTAAAGATAGACGGTGGTGAGAGGTTTGAACCTAAAAGCCACGTTTATGACTTCACTCCAGAAAACATTTATATTTCTGTCTCTCTGCTGGTTTTCATTAACGTCTGTGGTTGTTTTTATGTCGACGTTCTTAGCCTTCAGTCTAATGAACGCTGGAGCCGAGGCTGCAGTTCTCTAACCAGCGGTTCTTTCTACACCCCTCCCCCCCCTCCCCCCCCCCCCCCCCCACCCCCCCCCCCTCCCCCCCCCCCCCCTCATCCTCACCCTTCATCCTCACCCTCCGTCCTCACCCTCCATCCTCACCCTCCGTCCTCACCCTCCGTCCTCACCCTCCATCCTCACCCTCCATCCTCACCCTCTGTCCTAACCCTTCATCCTCACCCTTCATCCTCACCCTCCATCCTCACCCTTCATCCTCACCCTCCATCCTCACCCTTCATCCTCACCCTTCATCCTCACCCTTCATCCTCACCCTCCATCCTCACCCTCCATCCTCACCCTTCGTGCAGTCAGTATTTCCACGTTCCTCCAGTGCAGGAGCCAGGCTCTGTACTAAAACCCTGATCTGATTGGACACTGTCACTCCACATGTGTTGGTCCTGGAGGTGAACCAGCGTCTTAGTCAGCAGACCAATCAGCTGTCTGGGTTTCCCTGCCTCCTTGTGGCCCCTGCCCTCACTGCAGCTTAACAAGAAGACAACAGGCTTCAGTCCACTGCTGCTGCACAGGCTGCCTGGTGGGGGGGGCCGGCTGCTGCTGCTGCTGCTGCTGCTGCTGCTGCTGCTGCTGCTGCTGTCTCATTGTGCTGAGCACAGAGTCCACTGTGTTCAGCTCTGGGTCATGGTCCCAGGATGTGGTCCTGGTCAGACCAACACTGGGTCTATTCTCTGTGGGTGTCGTTAAACGGATTCTTTTTCACTGCTGCTGCATTTGACTGGTGGCAAACTTTATTTGACAATGGTTGGGGGAGAGGGGGGGGGGGGGGGGGGGGTGGGGG